ATGGGAAAAGCTGGGGCTGGAAGCAGGCCAAGCACCATCCAAATGCTGAGGTTCTAGGGGAAAAGGGAACTGAGAACAGCCACCCAGGCTGACCCTGCTGGGGCAAACTCCCAGTACCTTCACCTCTGCACTGTTTTGCATACCCTTCTGCAAAGGGCCCTCACCTCCTCCCTGGGCAGCACACTTGCGAGTTTGCTTCCCTGGGCTGTCTCCTTTGGTGCTGTCTCTGTCCTAAAAGTCCCTGTGATGGTGCTCGCCTGTGACCCCAGCAATAGGGAGGCTAAGGCCAGGGAGCACTGAATTGGAGGCCAAAATGAACTACACAGTGAGACCCTGCGGCAAACCAAAAACATAAAACAAAACAAAAAAGCCCCACAGGCCAAGACTCTCCCCCTGGCCTACAGGGCCTGGCCTACAGAGATCTGAGGGCAGCGATTCTGCTCCTAAGGGTCCTTTCCCACACCAGAGCCATCTGTGATCACCCCAGGCCCCAAGGCAGCTGTATCATCCTGCAGCCCCTCCCTCCCTCCCTCCTCAGTTTCACAGCCTGAGTCAGACTCCTGTCAGCTCTTCACTGGGTCTGGATAAAGCATCAGCCCAGTCTTGCCACCATCTTTGGCCAAAGGACTCCAGAGAAAAACACGATAGGGCTCACATGGATCAGGTGTGGGTTCAAATGCCTGCTCTACCTCTCTGAGCCTATTTCCCCCCTCTGAAAACAGGGCAGGGGTGGGGTCACCAACAGCAGAGATAGCACCTTACAGGGCATTGTGCAATTCCAATGGGGAGTCTGTAAAGAGCCGGGCACAGAGCCTGACACAAGGCGCAGTAGCAGGCATCCACTCAGCGAGCTGCTTACAATCCTGTCCTCCCGGGCAGCCCCCAACTGGGCAGCAGGATGCGGATCCCCTTGATTCAGCCTGGCCCCACAGCATGCGACCTCACCAACCCTTCCTCCTCCAGAAAGCCTTGCTGACATTGACAGGAGAGAGTGTGTCCGTCCACTGCCCTTTCACAGACTGGCTAGCAGCCACTCTGGTCACATCCAGCCTGCTAGCTGTCACTTGGACCCTTGTCCTTCCTCCTCCTCCAGGCCAGGAACCTCTCAGTCCAAACCTAGCTGCACCTCACACTACTTCACGTCCCCTGTCACTCCTTGCCACAGACATTTTCCATACATATTTAACAAATTACCCAGACGTTCCACTTCAGTTAAAAAACACCCAAGTCTTCCAAACAGTCCAGCTATTTCAAGCCATATTCGAAACCAAATTCCAATCCAGAAGTCTGCCTGGCCTCTAGAGATGACCAGGTCTGAATCTGGTCCTGAAGCAAATCCATGAGGCCCAAAGCACAGACTAGCAGGTGACGAGCCTGGGACAGAGACAGCTGTGAGCTGCCAAGACCACAGCCCAGATGCAGAGTTTCTCAGCTGGCTCCTAGGATAACCCAGTCTATGGCATCTCATTCTGGACCACATCTTCCATCTGTGATTGCAAAACTATTCCTTGCATACCCACTTGTGACAGGAGGCTCACTACCCATCTTCTCTTGCTTGCTGATTCCTTCCCTTCTCACCTGTGGACTCCCCCAGAGTGATTTCCTCCTGCCTAATCATGATAAGCAGGAGAGTCTGATCACAGGACAAGGGACAGCACCAGCCTTTAGGACCCCGTCAGCAATCTGGCCGTCAATCCCTTGATTGTCTGAGTCCTCTGAAGATTCCACTTTGTGGCATTTTCATTCATGTCCCAACAAGCTGATAGGGAACTGTGAGCCCAGGAAGCCTCCCATTCTAGAGGCGCAAGAGCCTACAAACCATGGCAAATCCCAGTCTGTACTCCAACAGCCCTCAGAGCACTCAGCACTGTAATGCACAAACTCTCCTCCCCCAAGAACTTCTTTTATTATCTACCCCACCCACCATTCTCTAGGTTTTAAGATGTCATTAAACAGCCATTTGTTTTCTATTTTTTCAAAGTAATTCCTCAAGGCCCCAAATCAGAGCTTGACTGGTAGCATAAGCTATCACCCCCACCAAAAGACTGGTGTGGTGGCACGTGCCTGCGATCGCTCAGCCTGGAGGCTGAGGCAGGAGATTCACCAGGAGTTGGAGGCCAGCCTGGGCTACACAGTCAGACCCTGTCCCAAAAACAAACAAAAGAGTGGGCCAGCCCAGGGCAGGAAAGCCTCGAGGGTCCGAGCCACCACACCCACTCACGTCTGGGATTTTTCCTGAGGTTCTAGAGAGCAGTGTCCGACTCTGGGCTAGTAAGGTGCACACACACACTTTCCAATGGGATTCACAATCCTCTCATGGCCCCAAGGCCACCCCCCATTTCTAGCTTCAAGGACCTCTGAGGCTAGGGCACCAAGACCTGGCCCACAGTAGCAATAAGGACCCTTGGCCAAGTCACAGCGCACATTTGGCGTGTTAATCCCATGGCCTTAGGTCTCTCCTCTGTCTGAGGGCTGCACTTCTGAGTCCTACCTCCGCGCCCTGCTGATCTGAAAGTGACCCGGTGGTCTCAGTGGAGATGAAAGGCTCTGCCACCCTTGGTGCCCCAGGGCGAGGCCTGTTGACAAAGCCACCAGCTGTCCCCAGTTAGAGCCAGGGAGACTGGCTCCTCCCTGCACCACCCACACTGAGAGCATTGTGCCATGGACCCGCCAGCAACAGACCTCGGACCATGGTGGGGCTCCAGGCCCAAGCTCCAACTGACCTCCCTCCAGCTCCAGCTCCCCACACTAAGAGCCAGGGCACAAGATTCACCCAGGCAAGTGCCCGGCACAAGGGGGCATCACCTGGGATGCAGGTGATGGGGAGGAGGGGCAGGTGTCCACATAATTTCAACTGAAAATGAAACCACCAGCCCAGTCACACAAGACCTAGAGACCTGCGTGCGGCTTGGACATAGGGCAGGGATCAGGGGTCAGTCTCAGCTGCCACACTTCCTACCCGTGTGACCTTTACCATTCTGCGCCTCAGTCTCGTCCTCTATAAAATGTGGTTAATGATAATGTGGGAGAACTAAATGAGATATTGTATGTAAAGCAATTAATGAAACCAGTGCCCGGCATGTAGTAAACATACAATAAATACCTGTTGAATATAGGCATGCTGACATTTACGGAGGCACACAGACTCATTTCGTCCTCACTGTGACAGATGATTGCATCTTTCCCATTTCACAGGTAAGGAAACTGAGGCTAGGCAAAGGGAAGGAGTCGGCTCAAGGTCACACGGCTGGGAAGTGACAGGTCTCACTGACCCTCAGACCAGCGGGTAACACCGTCCTAGGCCATTCCGAAGGTCTCCCGGCTGCAGCAGGACAGACAATGGGGCGTGAGGGGGTGGGGCTCCCTCTCTATCCCGAGCCTGGCACGGCTCCTGGCACGCAAGAGCCAGGTGGCGTCCTCAGGTTCCCGGCAAGTCCCAGAGCCCCAGCGTCCTGCGGGCGTCCCCTCCTCACTCCCGTTCCAGAGAATTAAAGAGCAGCGTCAGGGGGCAGACCCGTCGCTCGGGGAACCTGAGAGACTAGGGGAGTCAGAGACCAGGCCTCGCAGAACCGCAGAAAACCGGTCGGGCTGCCTTCCCCTTCCCAGCCGGGACCCGGCCTCTAACCCCCTCCCTCGCTAGACAAAAGTTTACCCTGTTCGGAGCCGGGGAGGGGGAGGGGGCATTCCTC